CGCAGTCGCTGCTTACTGCGCAGTTAGCAGAGCGCAGGCTTATGCGTGCGTGTGGATGCATGTGTATGTATGTGTGCATAAAAGAAGTGCAGAATGATTAGAATATCAGCTTAGAGGGTTCAGGGTATCTCCTAGCGAGCAGTCTCGACTAGAGCTTTCTTACTTGTTTCTCTTGCCGTGAGCCGTTATGTTTTTGTCGCCTCTATGTACATATGTTTGTATGTATGTATATGCATGAGTTCATTTCAGTGCGCACGTGTGTGTGTGTGCGTGCATGCATTTCTGCTGCCTCTTGTCCCGTTATCAGCCGAAGAGACTTCAGCTTACCTTTATTGTCTGCTGTTAAGGTTTTTGTTTAAATTGTGTTTGGTTATTGGTAAACAAGATAACGAGCAGCAAATGAATACACAAACGTTTTAAAATAATAACAAATAAGACATACATATATACGTAGGTACTTATGTATACATATGTATGTATACACACGAATATTGAGGCATTTGCAAGTGCAAATCGCTGAAAAATGATAACGCATTAATTGAAGAACTGGGTAAAGCAGAAGAAATCGCCTGCCAATGGCAGTTTGTGCCAAGTGCAAAGTCTTATCGTAGATAGCCGAAGATCGGACCAAAATGACAACAATGCGATGCATGTTAGACTAGCAAATACTCTGCACTTTTTACTAGGTTGCTAACAAAGTATATGTTGCACTTTTAAGAGCTCTTCGTTATTTTGAAAACTTTCCCAATTCTTTATTACGTAGATCTTGAAAAACATTATTATTATTGACCAGCTATTTTTCAACTAATATTAAGTAACAAACATTATTAGCATTAGCTCCATTAGCCGTTCAATCGTGTTTCAATTTCATATGCAAGTTTTTTACTTCAAAGTATACAGGGTATAAGTACATATCAACGTTGTTTGTCGCATTTTACTCACACCAGAGCACACACATACACCCATATGTACACATACACAATGTCAATCAAGCTATTCGATTTAGTCAGTCGAAAATATTTTAGAATGACTTTCAAATTCTGACCTTTAATAGGTTTGTATAGCTGTGAACAGTTTTGTTGCGATCTGTAGGGAAAGCAAGTTTTATATGTATATGTATGTATGCTTGTATATACATATATGTACATGCAATATTATATTTATCTAGTATTCAGATTCAAAACAAATATTCTCTCTTAATCGCATTTTGTACCGATCTTATGTATGTTTGTATGTATGTATGTATGTATAAACGTGCAATCCTCCGCTTAGCCATTAAAAATCAAATCACGCTACAAAATGCTGTCCATTGCTGTGAGATTTAAGTGCGCCATCTGATAATGAAACAATAATGAAATATAATAATTAGTTGTGATGTCACCAATTCTAATCAGCGCGCGATCGTGTGTTTTGTATGTGAGGCAAACTAATTGAGAGTTGATTAAATTTAACTAATTAAGAAATTGACAAATAATTGAGAATGAAAATGCAAATCTAAATGTGGTGAGAAAATGAGTGTAATTATAAAATAACAATTAATAATACATGTATAATATAATAGTAAATATTGTTGCAATCGAGCTTTTTTTTTGTGATTGTGTCATAACACTCACTTTCCTAAGCCCATTTATATTACATACACACACAGTTGTGCATGCATGTATGTGCGTGTATGTGCATATGACGACATTTGTGCGCACCACACCTTTTTCTGCAGTCTGTGTATGACTGTCAATCATGCTGGCCGTCAATCGGCGTAGGGTGCACAGCCCGTATATTAACTGCGCCGCAAAATCAAGACAAGTACATAAATTGTAAAAAAAAGCTTCAACCACAACACCACCACCACCACCAACAACAACAACAACAATTAATAATAAAACAGAAACAGAAAACAACAGCAGCGAACACAACAAAATGCCAAACGAAAACAAACAAGTAAAAGTGGTCTCGACTGTCAAATACGACTGCAAGATACCCTGTCTGCCCAACAAGCACACACACATATATGGGGCAGGAGGTGCTATAAAGTTAATAGATAAACTAGAGTTTTTTTGTTATTTGTTAAAGTGCAATGTAAATGCTCTGGAAATCAGCTTTTAATAAAACTTTTTGTATTACACAAGTCAGCTGCTAGCAATCATACTCAGGCATACCCGCTTTGCGACTTTCTGCGTGCAGGGCATAGAAAGCAGGCAAAGCAAGCAAGCGACGACCGGCTTCTCTTCTTTTTCGTGCTTTACAGCTATACACACACACACACACATTCACAGAGAGAGACACGACTGCGCCTCAGCGACTGCGCCACGCATGTGTTCATTCAATAGCTCCACTGCTGCCTCTCTCAATACATGCGCAGCGACACTCACACACATTTGAATGCGGCCGTTGGCAGCGCAGGCGTAGCCCGCACGCCGCGGTAGCGCTTTGGTGAATGCAGCGACGCTGGCGTTGCCGTTGGCGCTGACTTCTTTGCTGCTACGGCCAATGCGCTGCGACGCGTTTAAAATGTCGCATTCGCCGACGCTTTGAGCTCAGTCCAAAAACGGCAGTTAGAGCGATTGACCATCTGCTGCCCCTGCTGCGCACACACACTAGTCAGATAGACAGTTAGTCAGTCAGTCAGTCAGTTAGTCAGTTAGTCAGTCATTAGGCGCTTGTTCGTTCTTGTGTTCCGCTCCGAATTAAGTTGTTTTGATTATTCGCATTTGAAATTGAAATTGAAATTGACCTTCTTGGTGGACGCGCTTTAGTGAAAACAATCAAACTAAAAATCGAATCTTAGACGCAAAGAAATCGTAGAACGAAAGGCAACAATAACAACAATGACGCCGGTAAAGTTCTATTTCGATTTTCTTAATCAGGCTAGCCGATCACTTTACATACTATTGGAGGCATCCAAGATTCCATTCGAGGCGATACCCATATCAATGGTCAAAGGTAAGTTGAGTACGTGCTCAAAAGCTCGCGCAGAAGCCCAAAGGTTGTTTCCACATTCACACACACACACACTCATACACACACAAATACAGTTCAAACAACTACACACTTATGCAGATGCATACATGTATGTATTGCATGTATATATGCATGCACTTAAGTCTATTTCTATCTCTTTCAAATACAAAAATTTTTTTTGAGCGTTTCCAAAAATTTTCCACTTGTTTAAAATTCAGCTAATCAAGTTATCGAAGGGGAAAGTGCAATACGTGTTTAAATAAATATGTATGTTAATGCCTGATAGATAGGTTTCTATAAAATTATTGAAATACACACTACATATTATAATATTAATAATGAGATAATAACAAGTAAGAAGACTCTAGTCGAGACTGCTCGACTAGGAG